CCCAGCTACTCAGGAGGCTGAGGCAGGAGAATCAATTGAACCTGGGAGGCAGAAGTTGCAATGAATCGAGATCGTGCCACGGCACTCCAGCCTGCGTGACAGAACGAGACTCTGTCTCAAAAAAAAAAAATAGAAGACGGATGTTAGACAAAAAATTAGATAATAAGATCATTTCAGAGAGTGGTATGTTCTGACAGAAAATAAAACAGGATGATGAACCTAGGTGGTAACTGGGGAGGGGCCAAAGTGAGATAATTGGTTGGGGTTTCTGCACCCCAGGTGCTAAGTGCATTCTAAGAATGAACTCGCTTTATCTTGGGAACAACCCTCTAAGATAAGTCTGTCATTTCCATTTTAAAGAAAAAGAAACCAAAGCACAGAGATAAGTAATTTGTCCAAGATTTCACCAAGCTAGAAAGTCACGTAACTGGGCATTGAACCAGTGCATCTGATTGGAGACCATTCTCTTATCCACCACTGAAGAATGAGCTATATTAATTTAGCACAGCACCTAGCACAGAGTAAGTGCTACATAAGTGGCCATTGTTGCTGTTGAAATTACAGATCTTCGACAGGCAGCAACATCTTTCTGTTTTTCTCCAGGGACCAAAGCGGATGTTGGATGCTCAAGTGCAAACAGACCCAGTATCCATCGGACCAGTTGGCAAATCCAAGTAAACACCACGGATCCCACCAGGTTCTCCTGCCAACAAGATGTGTTCTCCTTACTCCATCTCCTCCCCAAACACGTTCTATGTATATATTCTTCTGATGGCCAGCAAGCGAAATTCTGCCTAGAAATTAAGCCCGAGCTGTTGTATATTGAGGTGTATTATTTACGTCTCTGGTCCAGTCTTTTCTGGCAAATAACTGGAAAGATGGTTTAGCAGGTCACCTAGTTAGGTCGGAAAAGTCGATGATCACCAAGCAGGAAAGGGAGGGGACAGAGGAATGCATTAGGGTTAAGTGATGAAAATGGTGGTGGTGGCCAGGAGTGGTTGCTCGCACCTGTAATCCCAGCACTTTGGGAGGCCGAGACAGGTGGATCACTTGAGGTCAGGAGTTCAAGACCAGCCTGTCCAACATTATGAAACCCCGTCTCTACTAAAAAGACAAAAATTAGCCAGATATGGTGGCACACACCTGTAATCCCAGCTACTCGGGAGGCTGAAGCATAAGAATCGCTTGTACCCGGGAGTTGGAGGTTGCAGTGAGCTAAGATTGTGCCACTGCACTCCAGCCTGGGCAACAGAGCAAGACTCTGTCTCAAAAAAAAAAAAAAAAAAAAATGGCAGTGGCAAGTAAGTTGTAGAAGAGAAATGCTGTGAGAAGGAATTAAGCATTGTAGCAAACACATGCTCATCCTCTAAGCTTGAAGAGGGGAGATGAAAATCCGTTTGTTTAAATTCACATCTCAAGGAGGGAGAACCCAGGCGTGCTGGGCGGTTGCCAGTTTCCTAGAATGGAATGTGTGGGGTATGAAAAATGAATGGATAAGCGTTGTTTTTCACAGGGTCCTTGTAAGTTATTGATGAGAGGGAAAAGATTGACTGGAGAGGGCTTAAAATGATTTGGGAAAACAATTGCTTTTGAGGCCCAACGTCAAGGGCAAAGACTACAACTTAAAAAAACAAATAAAAAAAAAAAAACAAATAAAATTGCACGGTTATTTTGCAACACAAGGGGGCAGCAAGGTCCCCATTTTTATCCTGTATTCTGTATCCCTAACAAAGATGTGGTCTCTGCTATCTTACATTATTAATGTTTCTCAGATGGCTGAGGGGCTCGCT